TGATGATGACACACATATAAAAAGAAGGAAAAAAAGCTGCAAAAAGATCAGTTTCACATTTTAGATTAGAAATACCATGGGTGACAATTCAGGGCTTTACCATTATTTCAATTCATTAATATCAGCAGTTATAAAATAAAAGCTTTTTTTTTATTGGTCCAATTATTATTATCTTTTTTTATGTTCTGCTTTATCTTGGCAGAATAAAAAGCTGGTATAACTGATTAACTAGTCTGGCTATCTGCTAAGGTGGTCAGTCTGTAGCCTGGATTTAAATTCTGCTGGTGTTCTGCCTCACATAGTTTTAAAATGACCATCTGCATTCCTTTATGAACACTTATATATATAATAACAGACCCATTACTCTATTTGTGTAAAGTAGAGAAAAACGTAGCAGCCTTCTTTAAGCCAGCTGATCGGCAGTGAGCTGGGAGGGACAATACTCCATTACTGGATGGAACCACTGTTTTGAAACAGTGGTACCTGTAACAATCCAATGCCTAACATACACAATGGATCCAACTGACTGCTTAAATTACAAAGAAAAAAAAGCTAAACAATCCTTTCTGCTTTCTACGGAAGAGGATTAGGGCCACTGAAGAAAAAAAAAAGTTTACTGATTTTTAAATTTTATTTCAGTATAATATGACAAAAACGTCAGAATTCTGACTTTAATCTCAGAATTCTGACTGTTTTCTGACAGCTAACAAACATGTAAGCATCAAACTGTAGCCATGTCTTTTTTAGAGACAAGCTCTCTTGTGTTAATCACCTGCTGCTCTTCCATTAAAGAAATAGCATCACAGGGGATCCTTCGGCCATGTAAAAAGTTGCCCAATTCCTATATTTACCCCCAATGTGTTACTGGCCCGCCCAAACAACTCACATGTTTGTCAGTGAAGCTGAATGCTCCCACATCTCTTCCTTCATGGTGAACATCTACATTTAGATCCAACATTCTGACATTAAAGTCAGAATTCTGAGATTAGAGTCAAAATCCTGAGATTAGAGTCAAAATC